GGCCCCGTGCGAGACGCTGCCGCCGTTACGGGCTGCGCTGTGTTCGCTGTGCGGGGCCCCCGCGCCTGAACCACGGCCCTTCCCGGCTGGGCCGGGCCGGGCTGGGCGGGCCTGGCCTGGGCCGGGCTGGGCTGGCATCATTCCCCGGGAGCAACGGGGATGTCGCGTACAAATATCACCAGGGACAGAAGAGCCAGGGGTTTGAGAAGCGGCGTTTGTTCATTACATTCGTCTTCCCTGGGTATAAGCAATTATTAAGAAAAGTTTCCTTTGCTCGTGGGCTCCCGTTCCTGTTTTTTCACGTGTTTGGGAGTGTTCTGATTCCTGTTTTGCCTCCTGAGCACACGAACACGCTGCCTTGTGCAGAGATTTCCCAAGAGAATGAGCTCGGTGTCACAGCCGCAGCTGAAGAGGTTGCTGCAGTCCTGGGTTGGAGCAGCAGCTGCTTTCCTCCATGGTGTAAGCTTAGAGTTTGTGATGGACTTTTCATAAATTGGCAGCCTTTAATTTTCTGTTTCATTTAAACTTAGGTTTCTTGAGCCAACTGTCTGTGACAAGCCAGAACTGCTGGTTTGTGGGATTTATCCAAGGGACAAGCCTATAGCTCATGTACAGGAAGGTGGTTGTGACATGGGAGGTGTTTTTGTTGCAGTCTCATGCACTTGCTCTTGTTATATGTTCTAGATCTGTTGGGGGGACCAAGATGACAAACCAAAACGCTGTGCAGTGACCTTGGAGGCTTCTGGAGTGTGCTGTTGCTTGCCTGTAGTGCCCTCAGAAATGGTGCCACCAAGGCATGGGGTGATACATCTGCACTGCATGGTGCTGCTGGACCTAAGAGAGTTCAGGCTGTTGTCCTCTTGGAGGAAGCTGTGCAGAGCTCGAATTTTGCAGGCAGGCAGGTGGAGTGTTGCTCATGTTGGGGATGATGATGGTGAACTGTAAGTGTCAGTGTTATCCAAAGCAGCTCTGGCTTTTTATCCTGCTTGTTTATGTTCATTGTTCTGTCCCTGCCCTGATGTGTGTGATGAAGACCCATCAGTGGGGATGTGATTCTCATCCCACCCTATACCCTTTATTTGCTTATCCCTAAGGGACTGTTTCTGTTCCTCTCTTAACCCTCTCTATTACCAGCCCTTCATTTTCCTTGGCACTCTCATTCTCTTCCTCCGCTCTCCTTCCTACAAGCATTTATCTCTGTGTCTTTCCCTTCTGAAGCAGTTTCTAGCGCTTTCTTGACCTTTTTCCAGGTTCTTGTTGAGAATGCCTGTGATGTCACTGTGGTTGGACAGCTGCATTGGCTGTGGCCAGTCCCCTTTGTCACCCTGCTCATGGGGACTTTATGTCACCCTGCTTGGCCGCCACTCACACGTGTGCAGTATGCACACTTAGAACAGCTGGATGTTAGTCTTGGCTTTCCAAGGCTAAAGTGCTTGAATACTTCTCTGCATCTTCAAAGAATTATGCAGGGAGTGTTTGGAAGCTGGAAGTGCCCTGGTTTTTCAGGTGTGTTTGAAGCTGTGATGGTGTGTCATCCTTCAGAAACAGAGGTTCAAAGGGAAGGGAGCTGAGACTCTAAAATCCCTTTGTCACATGCACCATGACAGTGAATTTCATAATTCTGGTTGAGGACAGAAGGTCTAACTACCCCCAGGCATGCACTGGGGAGCATTGCAGGCAGCCTGCATCAGTCAAGAAGTGTAAACTTTGCCAGGAGCTGACCAGGGAGTGGCCAAGTGTGAGCCTAATGTGTAGTTCATGAACACTATACCAGCTATAAAGCTTGGGGGTGCCTGTGTGTGATTATCTGAAGAGCACCACTGCTTAAGTGGGAAAAGAAAATGGTATTGGAACTAATGTTCCTTGTTTTGGATGTGTTTGCTCTTCTCTGCTGTGGATTTCACAGAGGCTGCAGAGTGAGGTCACCCTGTGCTGGACGCCAAGGGGGCTGTGCAAATGAACAGAACTACAATGTACTGACTGTGAGCAGCTTCTGACAGAGTTCTTGCCTTCATGGATGTTGGGCGAGGGCCTTTCCTCTTCTAAGTGACTGATGCTGGCCCGATCAAGCAAGTGTAGGACAGTTTCCCTGGGAGGAACTAAGCAGTGTTTTCTTGAAACAGCATGACCAAAATGAAGTCAAAATGCATCCATGGCAAGCTGAGACTGGGTATGGACTCTGAGACTCTGTGAGTCTGAGGGACTGTTGCAAGTCCTCAGGATATAATTTTGTAGTAGTTCTGCAGGTAGAGGCACAAAGCAAAATGGACATTTGAGGACTTTTTCACTATTGTTTAAAATATCTCGGCTTTTCACACTAAGAACACAGAAGCTTTTCTTAGAAAATGAATGGAGGAATATAGCATTGTGAGCTATAAACTACAGGATGAGTTTATTTTTTCTCTACTTGACTTTGACTCAGCTTTGGCTAGTCGGAGATTTCAGAGTTTTTGTTCACAAACTGGTTTTTTTTTCCCCTCCAGACTGAAGTTTGAGCTGTTGTGTCTGTTCTCCCTCCCAGTCTAATTTACCCTGGTTAACTTTTGCTTCTGCCTGCTTTTAGCTCCAGCCTTTCCCACAATAGAGAAATGGTCTCGGTTACTGACTCTTGTCCCCTTGGAAGCACTCTGGGCACGTCTAAGTGAGTGACACCTGGGCACACAAGCTATGTGGAGAACTAAGCCCTGGGACTCTTTTCTGTAAAGGAAATGAGAACAGCACCAAACCAGGGTAGGCAAATGATCTTAAAGTCTCTGCATTAGCTTTATCTGGTGGTAAAATGACGCATTAATCTGTGCTGAGGCTTATCAAGCGTGGCTTATCAGCACAGTACATGTCACGCACATAAACAGCAGGATCTCCACCTGTCCAGTCCTCCAGCTGTTCTCTCTACAGCTCCAACTGTAGCAGGTGTTCCCTGGAATCTGTGTCTTTGTGCCATCTCTGTTGTAAGTAGACCAGGTCAGCTCATTGCAGCAGCAATGCAGCTCAGCTGGGAGAGGGAGTTTCCCACTGAAGCTGGTTTGGGAGAGCTCTTGGCTGCTCATGTTGCTGGGTGAAAGCAGGGAAGTTACTACAGTGTGTCTTAGGGTCTTGTGCACCCTTCCTGGGGGTGGAATGTGCCTCTCTCACTGTGCAGTTGCAGCCTGTGAGAGCGCTAAGCACTGAAGGTAAAGTGCAGAATGTCAAAATCCTGAAAGTAGGGACTGCTGGCGTGTCCTGAGGCAGGGACTGAACCCTGTGTGTCCTCCAGTTAAGGGAGCAGCCCAACAGGAGCTGTACTGACCTGCTGCTCTTTCTACCCATACCTTTCCTGCCCCAGGCCTCTCTAGAACTGAATGTTACCATTTGGAATCTTATAATTTGCCCCCATTTCAAATAATAGGCATCTGTAAGTTTTATTCCAGATTGTATGTAGCAGTTCTAACTAAACTTATCAATTCCTGGTAGAACCTGAGATGATTATGCAGGGTTAACATCAAGGACTGAAGTACTCTAAGTGCTGTTGAAATTCTAATCAG